TTAACCTCTCTTGTTTTATCAGTACCCACATCACCATCACGTTGACTGTAAATGGAAACCAGTGAAAATCTTCCAAGAATGCCATTATTACACCTTGAACTTGTCACTTTACTAAGAGGAACTCTAGTTTGGAGGGTCTTCCTGGTGTGAAGTTTATTGAAATGTGGGCCACAGGATTCTTCCCTGGTTACCCCATTTTCCTTTCTTCGTTTTCTCCCCTGTCCTTTTTCATTGATTGGATAAATGTTTTTGCCTTGTATGAGCCAGGGAAGACCCACTCTCTGTGTGTTTATCAAGATGGTGATAGCTGTATTGTCTTTATTCTCTGGGGATCAGTCCTAAGCTCCTTGAGAATAAGGGCCTTATCATCTGCATTTTATTCTTCTGTTTCTGGTTGTTATTCCCCAATCTTGAATTTAATTAGGATGCCTCCACTTGGTAGTTTTACTATGAATAGCCGTGACAGCTTATTTTTTTTAAAGAATAATTTATGTAATTTTATTTATTGTTATTTTTAAATTTTTTTGGAGAGGTTTTTGCTATAGAGCGTGTGCACTCGCTAGACAGACAAAGAGAGAGACAGAGAGACAGAAAGCAAGAAATCACCTCCCAGCAGGGATGGCCATGCCACAATCCCTTCTCCTCCATTCCCCTCTTGGGATCTTGGGCACGCACGCACATGCGCCCAGCGTGAGTGTAAGCCACTGAGTCCGGGACTCGAACCGCAGTTGACTACATGGGAGTCCAGTGACATAGCCATTATGCTAACTGCTGGTCCTGATTTATTGTTATTTTTAATTTGACCAGTAAGAGATAGAGCCAGAGAAAGAGAAGTGAGAAAGCAAGCTGCCAGGTCTGGGACTTGAACTGTGGTTGGCCATATGGGAGTTTAGCACCTTAACCACCATACTACCTGCTGGCCCGATGGCTTCTATTTTTAAAGCTCTATACGTCTACAATTTTACAGATAACAAAGCTAAGGTTTAGAAAGGTGAGATGATTGAAGAAAATTACCTGGCTAGTGACTAGCAGAATTGGATTTTAAACACAGATTTTTAGATATCCAAATCCATTGAACCTATTTATCACATCATAGAGGCCTATAATAGCCCCTCTGTCTAGTATGGTCTGTCAGAACAGTCCACAGAGGCACCTGAGACTGAGAGGTTTTAAGAGGCTCATTCCAGGATCTACAGATAATCGGTGGAACAGGTCTTTTAGTGCAGATCTGGGTTCTAAGACCAGTCTTTTTCTCTTTCTGCTATTCTGCCTCATGCATTTAAAAAATTGATTGATTGATTGATTTTCTGTAGGGTGTGTGCACTTGCCAGAGAGAGAAAGAGAGAAAGTAAGAAATCACCCCCCAGGAGGCATGACCACACTGCAGTCCCTTCTCTTCCATTCTCCTCTTGAGATTTTGGAGCACACATGCACACACATCCTCAACATGTTTCTCAAGCTGCCTAGTCTGGGACTTGAACCTTGTAATTGACCATGTAGGATCCAGCCGCTTTAACCACCGTGCCACTTGGCTGGCCCGCTGCATGCCATGCTTGTCAGAAAACTGTTGAGCGTCCTTCTGATGGCAGAAGGAAACTCATTTTGCATGCTAGGTCCCTTTCATGTTAACTTCTATACAGATTTAATCCTGTGTTTGAGTCACAGCCAACACAACCAGCTTTTGTCAGTTTGCCTCTGATCTGAAGCCTCTGTTTCACCAGCACAACAGACATATGTGCATCAATGTAAGTGGGACTTCAAAAAGTTTGTGGAAGGCCAGCCCTGTAGCCTAGTGCTTAAGGAAGCTAGATTCCACATGCCTTACCAACATTTGATTCTAGGCCCCAGCAGCTTATAACAACATGCTGAGTACATGTGTGGGCTCCAAATCCCGACAGGATAGAGAGATAGAGGGGGAAGGGACTGAAGTGTGACTGTGCCCCAATGGGGGAGTGCTTTCTTCTCTCTCTTTGTCTCTGTCTCTCTGTCTCTCTGTGCCAAGCACATCTGCCCTCTGGCATTTAAAATATACAGGTTCATGGAAAATAGGATTAAAGTATGAGTTTATTTTGGTACAAAATTTTTTGAAATCTGTGCATAGTTTATTTCATAATATAATTTTCTATAATAAACTTTTAAAAATATTTATTTATTTGTTTATTTATTAGAGAGGTTTTTTTGCTATAGGGCACGTGCGCTCTCCAGAAAGACAGAGAGAGACAGAGAGACAGAAAGCAAGAAATCACCCCTCCAGGGGGGACGGCCACGCCACAATCCCTTCTCCTCCATTCTCCTCTCGGGATCTTGGGCATGCATGCACACGTGCCTGGCATGAGTTTAAGCCACTGGGTCCAGGACTTGAACCATGGTCAACTGCATGGGAGTCCAGGGACATAGCCATTATGCCAACTGCTGGTCCCTAAAAAAATAATTTTTTATTTTATTTTTATTATTATTACTGTTTTTAAAAATTTGACCACAGAGAGACAGAGAGAAAGAGGGAAAATGAGAAAGCAAGCTGCCAGGTCTGGGACTTGAACTATTGTCAGCCATGTGGGAGTCTAGCACCTTAACCATCGTACCATCTGCTAACAACCCCTCCATGAACTTTTTGAAGCCCCTCCCGTATATGTATTTAAAAATACTTTCTTGCAGAGATGTGTAGGAGGCATGAGACCCTAACTGTAAAATTCACTTCTGGAAAGCAGAAATACAGAGCAGACCTTACTGTTACAGTTTTTTTAAAAAGTGTGTTTCTTCTTTTTTTCTTGAAAATCATCTTTAAATAGAACCCACTCGTGTGTTTGACGTTCAAGCTACTTCCGTCAATCCTACCAATGTGACCCTAACCTGGAAAAACAATGACACAGCTGCTTCGGAGTATGTGTATAAAGTAAAGAATGAGACAGGAGATGAGTTGATGAATGTTAAGGATGGAACAAGCTGTGACATCACAGGCTTAAGTCCAGCAACTTCATACAATTTCTCCATTACTCCACAAATTGTCAATGGGACTTGGGGAGAGCCTACATTCATAAGCATCACCACAGGTAAGACGAAGGCTCCCAGGGCTGGTCACAAGCCACTCCTTATTACCCCACAACCTAGAGCTGTGCACAAACGCTTCTTGGAAAGTGATTGTTTTTTATAAACATAGAGAAGCAAGGTACTCTGCTATTTCAAGACCCAGAGTCCAGGTGGCCAGATCATTCAGTATTAAGGTCTTATGTGTTTTGGGAAGTTCGACTACTTCCTAATGTGTCCTTTAAAAAAACTCCCCTTTTTTGGGAACCAGCAGTTAGCGTAATGGCTATGTCGCTGGACTCCCACGTAGTCGACCGCGGTTTGTGTCCCGGACCCGGTGGCTTAAAACTCACGCTGGGCACGTGTGCGTGCGTGCCCAAGATCCCGAGAGGAGAATGGAGGAGAAGGGATTGCGGCGTGACCATCCCCCCTGGGGGGTGATTTCTCGTTTTCTGTCTCTATGTCTCTCTCTGTCTGTCTGGCGAGCGCACGCGCCCTACAGTGAAAATCTCTCCCCCCAAAAAAAAGAAAAAAAAAACTCCCCTTTTTTGGGAGGGGTACTGGGGGTGTTGGAGGAGGCAGCTCCATGGTGCAGTGGTTCTGAGCTACTCAGAAGAAGTGGATCCTTAGGGCCAGCAGGTGGCATGGTAATTAAGGAGTGGACTGGTTGACCATGGTTCAAGTCCTGGACCTGGTGGCTTAAAACTCACGCCAGGTGCGTGTGTGTTCATGCCTGAAGTCCCAAGAGGAGACCGGAAGAGAAGAGATGGCTGTGTGGCTTGTGGCTATTACCCCGGGGGGTGATTTCTCACTTTCCCTCTCACTGTCTCTCTCTCTCTCTAGTGAGCACATGTGCCCTATGGCAAAAACCTTAATTAAGAAGTAGAAGAAGTAGTAGTAGTAGTAGCAATAGTGGATGCTACATGGTGACTGTGGTTTGAATCCCTGGCTCAGTCAGCCTGAAACGTACTAGGCATGTATGCAAGTTCCTAAGACCCAACAGGCTGGAAGACTGGGGAGGGGATCATGGCATGGTGGCATCCTCTGGAGGGTGTTCCTTTCTCTGTTTTTCTGTCTCATGTGTGCATATATGCATTGCCTAATTAATAAAAGAAAACAGACTCTTTTTTTTTTTTGATTTTTAAGAGAGACATTTTTGCTATAGGGTGTGTGCACTTGCCAGAAAGGCAGAGAGAGGCAAAGAAACAGAAAGTGAGAAATTATCCCCCATGGGCCATACTGCTTCTCCTTTTGGGATTTTGGGCATACACACCTGGCATTAGTTTTAAGCGACCGGGTCCAGAACTTGAACTGTGGTCTACTACATGGGAGCCCAGTGATGTAACCATTACACCATCTGCTGGTCCCCCAAATGAACTTTTTGGGAAAAAAAATAAAAGTGGTTTTTTTTTGTTTGTTTGTTTGTTTTTTTTTCCTATGAAGGAGAGAAACAGAGACACACACACACACACACGTACAGAGAACATCCCCTCCCCACCAGGATCTTGACACTGTGATCTACCCTTAGCCTCAGCCAGCCCTGGGTCTTGGGTGCATGTGTGTCCAGGGTACTCATCTCTGAGTGTGGACCTTTGACCTTCCCATGTGGAAGGTCATTGAAGAGCATTGCATTTTACCTCTGCCCCACCGTCCAGCCCTCAAATCTTTTGTTATTACTGGTTAATACCTACTTTTCTGCAAACACTCAGGAATAGAACCTCAGTAGAAATGTGTTTTGATGGTGTTGGTAATGACTAGCCTTTTAAGCTTCCCAGGAAATTGATGCTGTGTGTCTATTCCTGGAGTTTCTGTTGGGGAGAGATGTTTGGTATACTTTGTAGAGCAGTGTGTGTTCCAAATGAAACCAGAGCCTGATGACATTCAGTTTTTAATTAGGATTAGATCTCTTAGATTTTGATTTAGCTTATTACATGTCAGTACTCCAAGTCACTGTTACAGCTGCAGCATAGCTCTTTTTTTTTTGGAGAGCGTTTTGCTATAGGGCGCATGTGCTCGCCAGACAGACAGAGAGAGACAGAGAGACAGAAAGCGAGAAATCACCCCCCAGGGGGGATGGCCACACTCTGTCCCTTCACCTCCATTCTCATCTTGGGATCTTAGGCATGCACGCACACGCGCCCAGCATGAGTTTATGTCACCGGGTTCGGGACGTGAACCGTGGTCGACTACATGGAGTCCAGTGACATAGCCGTTATGCTAACTGCTGGTCCCAGCTCTTTATTTTTTTAAAACTAAAAATATCCTGAACTAAAAACAAAGCAAGACAAACCCAACAGGCAAGATGCTCTTTTTTAAGGTGAAGAGCACCACAAATTTGAAAAAAGAGGTGGTTTTGTTGGTTTTCGGAATGGTGTGTGTAAGAGTATGCATGAGTAAGAGAGAGAGAGGAAGAGGGAGTGAGATCTCACTGACTGGCGAGGGCTTGTAAGCCTCACAGCCTGGACCCCACGAATTGATGTCTCTTTCCTTAACAGACCTTCTGGATGTGGAGCAGACAAACATGAAACTGGTGGCTTTATTTTATTTATTTTTTATTGCCAGGAAACTATTTCTTTAAACAAAATCTTGCCCAGAAGCACAGGAAGTAAAAATAATGGGTCTGCAAGTGGCGTAGGGGTGAAGGTAGCTGGATCCTACATGGCCAACTTCATGGTTCAAGTCCCAGACCGGCGACTTGAGGATTGTGCAGAGTGTGTGTCCTCGTGGGCCCAAGGTCTGAGAAGAGAGTGAAGAACAGATTGCAGCATGGCTGTCCCACCTGGGGTGTGACTTTTCACTCCCCTTCTCCCCTCTGTCTGTCTCTCTCCCTACAGTAAACTGAAAAAAAAAAATTTCAAAACAAAACAAAAACTGGCGAGAGGGGAGCCACAGAGACGGGGTGCTACAAGAACCTTCAAAAAACTTAAGCTCCTCAGAGCACAATTCCCCCCACCCCAATTTGCTATAGAGTGTGTGCACTCCCCAGAGAGAGAGAAAGAGACAGAGACAGAAAGAGAAAATGAGAAAGTACTTCCTAGAGGGAATGGCCACACCACAATCCCTTTTCCCTCTTCTCAGAACTTAGGACATGCATTCACATGTCTGGCATGTTTTTATTTCTTTTTTTCCTCTTTTTAAAAGGTTTTTGCCATAGGGAAGGTACGTTCTCTATAGAGAGACAGTGAAAGGGAAAGTGAGAAATCATCCCCTGGGGGGATGGCCATGCTGTAATCCTTTCCTCTCCCTTCTCTTTGGATTTTGGGCACACATGTACATGTGCCAGGCATGAGCGTCAAGCTACCAGATCTGGGACTCAGACCACAGTCGCCCATGTGGGAGTCCAAACTCTTAACCACTACACTACCTGCTGACCCCCCCCGCCCAGTGTGTTTTTCAAGCCTTTGGATCCAGGACTGGAATTGCAAGTCGTCCATGTGGGATCCAGTACCTTAAGCCTCATGCCAATGGCTGGCCCCAGAGCATAATTTTAGAGGAGAAAAAAAATTAAAACCCTCAATAAAGATTTGCTAGGTTACATTGTGAAGGAGAGAGGAACAGAGGGAGAGGGCAGAGAGAAAATAGAAGAGAATTTATGAGAAAAAGGACTGAAGAATTTAGAAATGATAGGGACAGAGTGGTACAAAGTTGGTGGCCACAGGGAGACTCAGTTAAGAAGCCAAGTCTCATCCTCCTTCCAGCCTCTGCGAACAGGGCTGTGTAGAGGAGTTCACCAGCCACTGCGTATTGACCACTCACTGTGTGCATGTCCTCAGTATGTCATTTTTGTCCTCACAACAGCCCTGAGGGCTATGGCTAAAGGACCTACACTGTGGAGAAGTTAAGTTTCTTCCAAGATATCAGAGTTACTGAGGATCCAGTGGCGGGGCCGGAACCTATGATCCTGACTCCGGGCCACTGTGGTGCAACGATGTTAGTGACTGATACCCAGTCATGAAGCCAAGGAGTTTATCAGATTTTATTAGGGTTATGTTCCTTCTTTTTTAAAATATTTTTGCCACAGGGCATGTGTGCTTGGCAGAGACAGAGAGAAAGTGAGAAATTACTCGTGAGGAGGGATGGCTTCATGGCAATTCCTTCTGCTCTGTTCTCCTCTTGGGATTTTGGACCTGCATGCACACATGCCCTTGTGTTTTTCAAGCCACCAAGTCTGAGACTCAAACCGTGGTTGGTCATGTGGCACCTTAATCACCATGCCACCTGCTAGACCCATGCATTATTATTATTACTATTATTATTTTAAAGGCACATAAGTGACCCGATTAAGAAATCTCTGCATCAGAGATATTTGATGGGAGGGATCAAATCACCTAGTTTCAGAGCTGGATACTCTCTTAGAGTCTTCCAGGCCAGGGTCTTTGCATTCAAGCACATGCAGATCTCAGGCAGGGTGGTTGCTTAGCCTGCAACACCACCTCTGCTCTTTTTTGTGCTTCAAGCAGGGGCCCTGGGCTCTAGTTTCCTCACTGCCATCAGTGTGTGAGTTCCTGAGTAAGTCACCCTGTCCCCCGGGTCTCCATGTTTTTATGGAGAAAGGAAAGGAGGAAGAGGGACAAAGCATCCCTACACCCTAGTACAGCATGGTCATGTCACAATCCTTCTCTTCCATTTCTCTGTCTTGTTGGGATTTTGGGCATGCACACACACATGACCAGCGTGCTTTTTCAGGCTGTCAGGGCCAGGATTTGAACCACAGTTAAGTCATGTGGGATCCAGTTTCCTTAACCATTAGGTCTCATTTTGTGCTTAAGGTTGATTTCTTCCCCTCTTTTCTGCATTCTTTTCCCTATGCTATGAAATGATGGAAATGTATTGGACTATGGCATAAGGAAGTATTTTAGTAATATGGAAATATTAGTAAACTTTGTTTCTTTCTTTCTTCCTTTTTCTTTTTGCCACAGGGCACATGCACTCCTGAGCAAGAGAGGTAGTGAGAGGGAAGGTGATAGTCACACTACAGTCCCTTCTTTTCAGACTCCTTTTGGGATTTGGGACTTGCGTGTACATACATCCAGCATGAGTTTCAAGCTGCCAGGTCCGGGACTCGAATCGTGGTCAGCTGTGTGGGAGTCTAGTACCTTAACCATCTGCTGACCTTAACCCAGTCCTTCTTAACTGCAAGTGTCTATAGATACCTTGTTTCATTAATGCTCATTGCATGTTTTTAAAACAGAGCCTAGGCCAGTTGCTAGTCTTCGTGTTGCCTTCGTGGATGAGAGGGAGGTTGTTCTTCTCTGGAGTAATGATAATGGCACTGCCTCCTGCCGGATGCTGCTGGAAAGCATTGGAAACCCTCCAGAGTTAGCAGTCAATATTTCACAGCTGAAGCCAGGGGCTCAATACAACATCACTCTGCATCTTCCAAAAACGAATGAGACACAGAGAGAACCCCTGGTTGGAGAAAGCAGCTTGGGTGAGTCACAGCAGTGTACTTCCCGTCTTTCTTGCTGATGTTGACTTTCAGTAATTTAATATGAGGGGGGCCTTCAGCAAGTTCATGGAAAATGCACATTATGAAAAAACTGTGCATGCGAGTTCCAATTTTTTTTGGCACTAAAATAAACTTATTCTTTAAGTCGATTTCCATGAATTTCTTAAATTCTTAGCGTTTCTAAACACATGTCTCTTATGTTTGTATAGTGTTCTAGAGCTTACTAAGGGCTTTTCCTCCACATTTTAATTAGAACTTCCACCTGTCTAAGAAAGGAGACGTGTTCTCATTTCACAGGTGAACCTGTTAGGGCTGCTGCAAACAGCAGTGAGGTGTGAGACTGTGGAGTCTGGCATCCAGGAAAGTAGATGACCCCTGGAACTTTTCATCTTTCAGTTGAACAATAACAGATGTAGGATCCTTACAGGGGACTTACCGTGTCCATTGAGAAAAGGACTTCTGTCTTGCAGCTTGCAGCTTCCCTGCCAGCCGGGTCTGGCCTACGGGAAGCACTTCCTGAGTGAGTTCTGATTAGCAAAGTCTGAATCACTGCCCTTGGAAAACCATGTTGGGATGGGAGATGAGGATGTCTCCGAGAAGGGAGAAGGATTAAAAATAGAGTTTGAAAGAGGGTCATAAAATATCTACGGTGCTACCAGAAAAACAGTACCAAGTAGAATACCCATGCCTTTTCAGGAGGCTGATCTCCCTCTGAAGGAGGAAGAGAACAGAGGTTATAGAGTTTGGGGTGGGGACAGAAAGAAGATGTGCTTCTCGTAGTTAATGTTTTTGCCTCCTGTGCTTAAAACAGATGCCAACACCACAGAGAATAGCCCAGCAGAGAGCCTGCCCCAGCCACACAGCGCCCCTGCTGTCCCCGAGTCCGAGTATGTCACCATTGAATATGGAGGCCCATCCTCTGGCCAGGAGTCCCAAAACACAGAGGTCCTGATTGATGGGTTAAAGCCTGGAGCTAAGTACCAGGCCACTGTGTATTCGCAAGCAGCAGATGGCACAGAAGGACAGCCCCAGAAGAGAGAGTTCCAGACAGGTATGTGAACTTTTGCAAAATGACTTCAGCCAGAGTTTTTTAGCCCAAAGTTTTGTCATTTGTGATTCAGGTTCTGAATTATTTCTTGCTCAGCAATTAGTTTTTTTTTTTTGTTGTTGTTGTTGTTTTTGCACAGAGAGAGTTTTCTGGAAGAGATTTTGGACAAAGATCTGGTGAATTTCTTAATTTGTGGTCATGTCATGCATGATTGTTCATTAAGCTCATGAAAGATATTGAGCATCTACTACACACAGGCATCGGGCGCTGCCTCAGGTCTTTTTTTTTCCATCACAAATAGGATTTTTTATTCGTCACTATTGAAAGTTTGAAATTTCAACAGCTTCTTGGACTGGTGGTTTACATCCATCAGCTCATTCAACTTCAGTGCCCATCTCATCCCCACTAGCTTTTCCAGAGCTACTGCTTTCACCATGAAGCTCCATGAGTTTTCCCACTTCAAACCTGGACTTCTTCAGCATTTTCACTTCTCTGAGAAAGACATCATGGAGAGGATAGATAGATGGGCGAGCCTTTTCTTTGTCTTTTCCAGTGTTGTCTGGAATCAGTTTATTGACCGCTTCTTTCAAGTTATTTGTCTGTACCTCCCGGGTCATGATTTCCATCATCTTCCAGATTTGGTGAACCTGCTGATACTGAGCATGGGAGCTCTTCCTTGTCCATCTGCAGAGCGTCAGTGAGACAGACTGATGCACTATTTCTCCCTTATAAATAGATAAGCACTGGTTAAATTTTTTCCCTTTGAGATAAAGGAAAACAAAACAAAACAAAAAACAAACATGTTTCCATTTTGGCCTTCCTGTGGAATGCGTGCTGATCTTTCTATTGAAATCCTTGTTGACGTGAATTGCTGCTTTCTAGCTATACTTTATCCGCACTCTTGCTCTATAAATCCAACAGTATTTGGAGGCTTTCTGAGTTGGTGTTATGGGGGAATGAAGCCATACACAGTTCCTGCTCTCAGTACAGATGGGGAATCAAGAGAAACATACACAGGAAAGAACACGACCGGGCCTTGTGAGCTCAGAAGCAGCTCCTAGCCCTCAGGGGCTTGCATGTAGGGAGCGTCAACTGCTTTGGGATATCTGCTCCAGAAATAATATATATTTTGAAAAACTGTCATCATCCCATAGAACTGAGGGAGTGAGGGGCAGGGCTAGAGAAAGAGGGGCAGGAAGCAGATTGACATCCACGAGACTCTGAAGGACTGGGCCACACTAGATCTGGTGCTTCACAATCCAGAGTCAAAGTCCTGAGAGGGAGAAGGTGTCACATACCTGCTTCCTAGATGTGCTGGAAACAGAGCTGCTCTCTATAGCTGCCATATGGGTGACAAGCACTTCCTCCTACTGCAGATGTTGGGGTGCTGTTTGAAAGGCGGGCTGGGTGCTGTACAGCTAACACAGAGTCAATGGCCACTGTAGCTGCTCAGGGCCAATGGGTTGTGGGGAGGTTAGGGCACTGGATCCCCCATGGCTGACAGTGTGGTTTGAATCCCAGACTGGCAGTTTGAAAATCACACCAGGTACATTACATTCATGCCCCAAATTCTGAGAGGTGAATGAAGGAGAAGGGACTGTGGTATGACCATCTCCCCTGGTGGGGGATGATTTCTCATTTTTCCTCTCTCTCTCTCTCTCTCTGTCTGTCTCTTTCTGGTGAGCACACGTGCCCTGTAGCAAAAACTAAAAGAAAAGAAAAAGTGAGCCGAGCCTCCAGTGCCTGTCTCTTCGCACATGTCCACTTAACATTCTGCTTCTCTGCCATGTTGCCACATCACCCAGGCCCTCACCAGAAGCTAAACTAAGCAAATGCTGGCACCATAGCCTTGGACTTTTCCAACCACCAGAATTGTGAACTAAATAAACCCTTTTTCTTTATGAGTTACCCAGTCTCAGGTATTCTATTACAGCAATAGAAAATGGCCCGAGACACCCTCTGTACATGGGGTGTATTGTGTGTGTGTTGTGTGTGTGTGTGTTGTGTGTGTGTATTATGCATATGTCTTAGTCAGTAAGAGCTGCTCTGACAGATTACCATGGACTATTTCTCACGTTCTAGAGGCTGGACGTCTGGTGTCAGGGTACCAGCAATGGTCGGGTTCTGGTTGAGGATTGTCTTTTGGGTACAGATTCCTTGTGTCTTCACATGGTAGAAGGGGCGAGGGAGGGGTCTCTCTCAGCTTTTTTTCTTTTTCTTTTTTTGGAGAGGATTTTTTGCTATAGGGTGCATGCGCTCGCCAGACAGACAGAGAGAGACATAGAGACAGAAAGCGAGAAATCACCCCCCAGGGGGGATGGTCATGCTGCAATCCCTTCTCCTCCATTCTCCTCTCGGGATCTTGGGCACGCACGCACACACGCCCGGCATGAGTTTTAAGCCACCAGGTCCAGGATGCGAACCGCGGTCGACTATGTGGGAGTCCAGCGACATAGCCATTACACTCTCTCAGCTTTTGATAAAGACACTACTCCTCCTCACGAGGGATCCATCTCATGACCTAATCATCTCCCTAAAGTCCAACCTCCTAATTCTACTACCTTGGGAGTTAGGATTTCAACATATGAACTTTGGGAGGGATGCAAACATTTAGTTCATTGCAGCATACATGCACATGCGTATAGAGTGTCCGACATTCCACGGGTGACTGGTTAGGTGGAGCAGGGTTAACCAAACCCTTGGAGGATGCTGAGGCACTGAAAACTAGTCTGTGGCAGAGAGCCAGCCAAGGCTCAAGGGCATGAGGAGGAAATGGTGTTTGTGGACCCCGTGAGAGCTGGGACAATGGAGGATGCAGCAGTGCCAAGACATAGCCCAGAGGAGGAAGCAATGGAGGGAAGACTCAGACTACCCTCCCCTCACTCGCAGGAGCCTGCCCATAGGGCTGATTGGTAGAACCTGATGACAGGTCAAGTGGCAAGACTCCCTGTGATGCCAGGTGTGGGCGTCCATTTCCTGGGACACAGAGCAGGCAAGAGAAGGACAGAGGATAGATTGGGGCAGACAAATGACACATCCCTAGTACTCTCATGTTATCTTTTCTCATGTTGACCTTGAGGTGAGGTGTTACCTTGGTTTTATAAATGAGGAAACTGAGATCAAGTGATTTTTCTAAGGCCTTGGTTATTAAAGTAGAACTAGCCTTGGAACCCAGACCTGCCTCGTGCTGAAGTCTGTGATTGCTAATTGATGATGAAGAATGTAGCGTTTAGTATTGGTGGGATGTATGCTCAGGGACTTCCCTGGATCACCCCAGTGCCTTGGGCAGGGCGTGCATAGAGTCCATGTTACTGTTTGGTTAAGAGTCCACCACACTTTTACAGTCAACTCACATAGGGCCAGTGCATGATGTGATGGGTAAGGAACTGGATCCCACATGTCTGACTGTGTGGTTCGAGTCCTAACCCAGTGGCTTGAAAAACATGCCCCAAATCCTGAAAGGAGGGAGAAATGGACAAGATGGAATTGCTGTGTGACCATTTTCTTCTGGGAGTGCTTTATCACTTTCCCATTCTGTCTCTCCTCTAATGAGCAAATGTGCCCTCTGGCAAATTAAAAAAATAAAAAAGTAAAGAAAAGAACAGAGAGTAGCCCTGCAGGTGCAACCCTTGACTTTGGTTGGGACTCAGCTTTCCAGCCCTGGCTAAGTGCTATAGAGCAGGAAGAAATAACCCTTATGACTGTGCCTTAGGCTCGATGATGTGCCCCGGCAACAACGTCTTCCCCCCCACCCCGGCTTGGCCATTTTGGTTATTTTTTTTAACTCCTTTTGTGTCTTCACAGTGTCTCTTCGGGTGTTGGACATCAGAGTCGTGAATATCAGTGCCACAAGCATGATCCTGACCTGGAGAGTCAGCCATAACGGGTCGTGCTCTCTCTGTACCTATGGGATACAAGTGTCTGGGGACACTGGCTCCTTCAATCTCACCGTCAGTGAGACTTCTGCTGACATCTCTGGACTCAACTCGAGTAGCTTCTACAACGTCACAGTGCATCCTTTCCTAGGTGACACTGAGGGCTTGCCGGGCTTTCTCCAAGTGTACACCAGTGAGTTCACTCATTGCTCTAACTTTCTTGCAGGCCAACTATGTGTCAGGCCTGGATGCAAAGATGCTCTGTCTTGCCCTCAGTAAGTGGCGAATACTCAGCTCAGTATGTGGGCCTACAGGGACTCTTAGGTCCTGGGAGATGTGTGATAAAATAACAGCAATCACTGGTTGACTCCAACCATCTGCTGAGTTCGGTGTGATGTGCTGTCCTTGCACTGTTTTACGGATGCTCATAACAGCCCTGTGCAGTCATTGACGTAGCCTTGTTTTATGGATAAGGAAGCCGAGACAGAGAGGTATGTGTGGTTTAGGGCACCACCCCTGGTAAGTAACAGAAGAACAGATCGATACAGGGAGACAGACAGAACCTGCATATCATGTCCCTTTGTCCCATGGTGGCCGATGCCATGATGAAGCCCTGGCACAGCTCTGTCTCATCATTTGTTCTCTTCATTGTTCCTTAAAGATAAGATGACATGCAGCAAATAAAAACTCCCTGCTGCAAAGCAGTTCTAACAATAAAGGTGTAGTAGTAGCATTGCAGTGTAGTATTGTAGTATTGATACTAGCCCTGCCTTTCATACCATGCCAAGAACTTGGCGTATATTGCAATAGCCTCCAAGGTAGGCGTTAGGATCTTTGAGAAAACAACAGCTCAGCACCACTGAACAGTTAGCCCAAAGTCATAGAGCTGGCAAATGGCAGAGCAGGGACTTAATGTAGGCATGCCTAGGTCTGGATTCAGAACTTTGTCCCACAGGAATCCTTTGTGCAAATACCCAGGAGGCGTACCCTAAGTATTCTCATGGATGCCTTTTGGACTTACTCTTTGGGGAAAATAAAATCTGTTCTTATTTTTTCACCTTTTACTTTTGAATCTTCTAGTAAGATTAAGGATTAGGATTAAGTTCACTTGTGAGTATTACAAAAAATAAAGTGGCGCCAGAGGGTGGTATGGTGGTTAAGGAGCGCGCACATGGTAAGCTTCTACCTGGTTCACACACCGAGCAGAAAGCTTATGTCTTGTCCAGCTTCCGTTTATGGGACATCAGGAACGGAAAAGATTTTGTTCTTGGTTGGAGAGTTTGGCTAGATAATAGAAAGAAAAGAGGGGCTGGAAAGGTAGCAGCCCTGTCTCTTACTCTAGAGTAGAAATGGAGAGCCTTCTCTGGTTGCATGATGGCTTCGGCGATGTCCAGGTTCTTGGAGTTTCAGACAAGGAATCGAATGAAACAGTCAATAGCAAAAGCAATGCCTAGTTTATTAAGTAAAAATGAAAGTTCACACCCTAGATGTAGGAGCAGCCTGAATACCAGGGAGAAATAGTGGCTCAAGGACCTCAGTATTTTTTTAAATTGAAGATGTTTTTCTTTATTCATAACAGAGCACATACATGTGACAGGGAGAGAAAGGGAGGGATGAAAGATGAGCACTCTCCACAGGATCTAGTCCTGCTTCAATCCCCATCTTCTGGTCTTCTAGCCGTTGGGTCTTGAGCATTTACATGTTTTTCCAGCATGGTTCAGGCCAACCTGGTGTGGGAGATTTGAACATTGGTTGCCACATGGGGTCTGGCTTCCCTTGAGCAGTTCATTATTGTTGTGCCACAAAACTAGCATGAGGAAGGGATCAGCAGTTAGTGTAATGGCTATGTCGCTGGACTCCCATGTAGTCGACTGCGATTTTGAGTCCCGGACCTGGTGGCTTAGACTCATGCTGGGCGCATGTGCATGCGTGCCCAAGATCCTGAGAGGAGATTGGAGGAGAAGGGATTGCGGTGTGGCCATCCCCGCTGGGCAGGTGATTTCTCACTTTCTGTCTCTCTGTCTTCCTGGTGAGAGTATGCGCCCTATAGCGAAAACCTCTCAAAACAAAAACAAAAACAAAAAACCAAAAAACAAACAAACAAAAAAGACACTAGCATGAGGAATAGATTCTTAATCTAGTGCTTACTTTCTTACTTTCTTCCTGCAGCTCCCGGTCCGGTTTCTGACTTTGAAGTGACAAGTGTCAGCACAAGCAAAATCGGCTTAGCTTGGAGCAGCAAGGATGCAGAGTCCTTTAAGATACATGTCCTACGGGAGCCAGAAGTTACAAAGTTTCGGGAGGAGTCAACAACCAACCAAAGTATTATCATTGATGGCTTACAGCCTGGAACCACTTATTGTTTTACGATATTTCCGCAAGGACCAAATGGGACTACAGGGCCATCTCAGACGGTCTGCAATGTAACCGGTAAGCAAACAGAATACGTTTTCTGTCTTGTGGCGATGTTTCTTAAAGGATATCAGTATAATTTATAAACATCAGGCTTTCCAAATGTTTTTTTTCTTTTTCTTTGGAAGGTACACTATTTATTCATGTGTACTTAAATCAGCCAAACTGACACCGATACTATCAGTATCATAATGCAGCAAAATATAAAATATCTCTCTACAGATATTACAGAAATAAATGATTTGAGAGTAAAGTAAAACACAGAGCCCAAAGGGCAAAGGAAACCAGCGAAGTGGTTAACCCTTTACCTGAACAACTCAATTTTTAGTAAGTTAAACCTTCCCAATTCCAGAAAGTAGGACGAATCCTTCATCATACATCTTTGTATTTTACTTTCTATTCTTTCATTCTATTAGATTCTAGACCCTAAAAATTCCTAAGCTAGTGTTGTATTTATTTATCTATAGCCAGAGACATTTTAAAATCATGTCCATTGCAGCCAAGGTTATCAAACCCAGTTTAGTTAAACTCTAATCATAATCCTTTCACCCTCCAAATTTATACAGTAGGCTCAGGAGATCAAGGTAGAACATATATCGCCCTAAAACAAAGATCACATGAGCAAAAAAGGAATCCTGTCACTGCCCAGACTGAAACTGAGTAATATTCCCATCTTCACCTATCTCTAGGCTGCATGTTTGGGGGGTAATTTAAGAATAGAACCTATGGTTTGTGAGGCACTAACATACTTAATAGTTTGCTGTTTCACATTATGGCCTTCCCCAGCCATTTCCAAGATGGCCCCCGAGTCACTGCCAGGAGAACTGCAAGTCGGACTGCAGAGATTCTTCTCCACAGTTGTAGAATGGATTGGTTCAGGACAGGGACACCAGGTCTGCTGTTTCAGGAATGGTTATTCCAGGACTGGGTGTTCAGGTTAGATTGCTCCAGGTCTTATTTCAATTTGGTGGGTTTCCCAACAGGTTTCCTGGGTATCCCTGGTGGTAAAGGGAGAAACCCGTGTTCTCTGCAGCAGCTGGGCCCTGAGTCAGACTGCTGCTTTTCTTCCTGCCATCTCTTCCGTTTCATTTTCTGGTTCTGGAACTAGGCTTAACCTGTTAGCAGCTTAAGTTCAGGATGTTGGAAAGTTCTTGCATCTGTTGGAGGCTGAGGTATTTCTGTCTCTGAAATCTATTTTTGAACATACACAGCTGGGCTGGAGAGAACACAGTTCTGGTTTTCTGTTTCTTGACCTGGATCTTATCTTCCTTCTTCACTGTATTCTTCGCTATAGAAGTGGGTGGTTTGGGGCAAGCAGGTAGCATAGTGGTTAAGGTGTTCAATTTCCACATGGCCAACCATGGTTTGAGTCCTGGACCCAGTGGCTCGAAACATATAACCCACGCATGTGCGGGCCTGAGCAACGGGGACCTGGTGGCTTGGTACTGACACCAGGCCTGTGTGTACATACCCAAAATCCTAAAAGGAGAATGGAGGAGAAGGGATTGTGGCATGGCCATCCCTCCAGGGGCTGATTTCTTGCTTTCTCGTTCTCTCTCTTTGTGCCTCTGGCGAGCGCATATGTTCTATAGGAAAAATCTCTCAAAAGAAAAAGAAGTGAGTGGTTTTATTTTGGACCGGGAAGAATCAGGGCTATCCCAAATAAGCAGATCCATGGAGAAATGAAGAGAAGAGCCTGTCTCTGCATGGGCCAATGAGTGAATGACATTTTCAAGAGGGGTAATTTTCACCCAGAAATCAGAGGCATTTGTGAAGAAACCCTAGAATCGGATGTGAATCCCCGAATCAGATGCTTTGGAACAAGGCAGGCTTTGGGGAGAAGTGGACCCACACTCTCATTATTATAATGAAGAGTGAAAAATAAAAAGCTAGATGTAAAAAAGGCCAAGCTTTTAAGACCCAAGTATCTAGGTATAAGATCTTGGAGAAGTGTGAAGCTCTCCAGATGTCAGAAAGTCAGGGTGAAGTGAGTCCCATTGTAGTAACAGAAGGCAACCAGCCCCATCCAGCCTTGTTTTTCTTTAAATTAAGAAAAATCTTTAAAAGTTTCATAATTACAGTGATGCATGTTTATTATATAAAATACAGGCAAAAAGAAAAAAAGACATTCCATGTAAAATCTTCAGAGATAGCTTTTAGTGTACAGTAGTTTAATTTTAAATTTTTATAGGCAATTGATAACTGATAAAATTATTTCAAACAAAGGCAGTTTAAGTAAATCATTGAATTATTCCTAGGTTAATAGAAATTTTGGTACATCACAGGGAGCTAATATTCATTATTATTGTTTTTAAAATTTGAAATAAAAATTTTGGGGAAATATATGGTATTCCTTACTCTTTGATTGCAAGATAATTGAAGTCCTGTGCACAGTGGGGGAGAATAAATAAATGAGACATATTTCTTGAACTGTACATGAACTCAGCTGAGCTGACTCTCCGTGTGGAAGTTTCTTTAATCTACTCGTTGCATAAGCGGTGATAGTGAGAGGATCTGCTTCCAAAATAAGGGAATGGCTGACAGTAATTTCTTTGCAAGTCTGCATTTTAGATTAGACTGTTGAGATAGGCTCTTAACTTTAACATGTTGCTTCTTCTTTCAGGATCGTTGATAAAGTCACTGACTTGTACACTGGCACATAGCTAAAATGATAAACATTGTGTTATATGTATATTATCACAATGAAAAGGAAGGGAAACAAATATAACTCCACCCTTCTAACCCAACTGAATTCCCGTTCTATCTGTGTCCACAGTCATACATTTTGTTGACATCACTGTGGTTATTATGCAAATAATTTTATTTTGTATTTGAACATTTTTTCTTTAACTCGGTATATACTGTAACTTCCTTTCCATAGTTAGCATAGCTTTCATAATTTTAGTGGATGCAGATATTTTATCATGTTGCCATATCACCATTTACGCAACCCTTCCTTTTATGGATTATTTAGGTTTATTTACAGATTTTTAATAATTATCAAAATGATTGCCTTTTACAGTCAGTCTTTTGTCTGTAGAACCCCTTTGACACCAGGAATCTGGCAGTAGAGAAAGAAGGCTCTGAAACCTGCCCCCCTTGAGAACTTCCTTTAAATTTTTTTTTTCTAGAGGGCATGTGGGTTTGCCAGAGGAAGACACAGAGGCAGTGGGGCTGGGGACGAAGAGAAAGCACCCTCTAAGAATGTGATGACTCTGTAATCCCTTCTCCTCATTTCTCTATCCTTTTGGGACATGCCCTTGCCCCTGGTGTGTTTTTGAAATATTTGGGACTGGGATTTGACTTGTGCAGTCAGCCATGTGGGATCCAGCTCCCTTAACCACTGGGCCACTGGGCTGGCCTGAGAACCTACTTTTGAAGAAAATATAATTTTGGGGGAACCAGCAGTTAGTGTAATGGCTATGTCGCTGGACTCCCACGTAATCGACCGTGGTTCGCCTCCTGGACCCGGTGGCTTAAAACTCACGCTGGGTGCGTATGCGTGCGTGCCCAAGATCCCGAGAGGAGAATGGAGGAGAAGGGATTGTTGTGTGACCATCCCCCTGGGGGATGATTTCTCGCTTTCTGTCTCTATGTTTCTCTCTGTCTGTCTGGCAAGCGCACGTGCCCTATAGCGAAAACCTCTCAAAAAAAAATTTAAAAAAGAAAAGAAAATATAATTTTGGAGTAGATATTACATGGTACAAAAATATTGGGACATCAGAAAAGTCATGACACATTTTTGTGTAGAAAAACAGAAAAATACCTAATGACTTTTCTGATGACTTCTGATTTCTGGTGCTGAGGGTGGAGGACTTGTATGTTTTCTCATCTTTCTCCCCTGCCTTCAGATTTTCCAACTTAGTCAATGTCAACCTTCCATTTCAATTTGCCTCTTTAGTATTCCAGACTATGTCACAGGAAGATGTTTTCTTTTGAGTGAGTGAGTATAACAAAACCCAGACTATTGAATTATAGGGCACATAGCGAAGGTGCACATATAATTAGTGTACATAGTCTGCCGAATTTTCACAAACTAAGCCCATCCAGCCACCAGCAGCAGGCTCATGAAACTGAACATGATTTCTATTCCTAAAGACCCCTCGAGGCGGTAATTTTTTTTTAAAACAAAAGCAAAAGACCAGAGAACTGGTAAGATGACATGTATGTGTAGTTCTCATCTCAGTTTTTAGCCTACCCTTTATCAGCTCATTTGAGAGTATGATGGCAAAAGAGCAAGTTCCCTTGACAGACACTTTGAAATGAAGTTGGACATCATGAGGGTTGTGAAGAGTTCTCTTTTTCTTTCTTCCCCCTGAAAAGAGTCCAGTGCAGTGCTTGACATCCACGTGGTCTACGTCAGCAACACTGAAATGCAGCTGGAGTGGCAGAGTACAGACAAAGCTTCTGAGTTCACCTACTGCTTACTGATACAGTTCAAGAATAGCTCTGACCAAAGGGACACTGTTCACAAAAACATCACCCTCCGTGACCTCATCCCAGGCACCTTGTATAACATCACAGTCATTCCTGAAGTGGACCACATGCAGGGGGACTCCAACTCCATCCTACAGTACACACGTAAGTCTCTTAGGACACTTTTTCTAGGGAGGTTCTCCCTGACTTTCCTTTGGAGCAAGCCCTGGTTGAATGATGGGGTCTTAGATCATTCTTATGTTGCTATCAGAAATACCTGAAATTGGGTGACCTGTAAACAATAGATGTTAATTTGGCCCATGATTCTAGTGGTTGGAAAGTCCAAAGATACTACATCACAACATGGCCGACAGAAACAGAAAAGAGAAAGAGAGGGAGAAGGAGAAACAGAGAGGAAGAGGAACCAGACTTTTCCACTTCCTTTGATTGTCCCTCTCATGTTTTCAACTGCTCACAGTAAAGGCAGATCTTACTTCTAAATGTCTCACCACCTCCTAGTGCCATTATATTTGGGACCAAAATTCCAGCACAATGAACTCTTGGAAGACAAACCATTATCCAAACCATAGCACGGGGTTAGGGTGATTGTGTCTCTCATCACCTCCTAGTGCCATTATATTTGGGACCAAATTCCAGCACAATGAACTCTTGGAAGACAAACCATTATCCAAACCATAGCACGGGGTTAGGGTGATTGTGTTTCTAGGCCCTAGGTTGAAATGTGAAAGTAATTAAGTTGAAAACATTGGCCTCAACAAGGGCTCTGCCGTCCTCATGAGGCATTAATGTTGGAGCCATGTGAACTTGGAGCTGTCTTTAGAAGCAAATTGTGCTTCCATGAGAATGGAGAACAAACAGAGTAGATAGGGCAGATCACCTGGGTATGTTGCAACAGTGAGAAGGGTATCTTGGCAATATTCAAACTAAATATATAGTAGAGATGTTACCTTGTGCTTTTAGTACACTTACTCTTTTTCATCAATCAGTTTTTTTTTTTTTTTTTGGAGAGGTTTTTTTTCATCAATCAGATTTTTTTTTTGGAGAGGATTTTGCTATAGGGCGTGTGCGCTCACCAGAAAGACAGAGAGAGACAGAAAGCGAGAAATCATTCCCCAGGGGGATGACCATGCCGAAATCCCTTCTCCTACATTCTCCTCTCAGGATCTTGGGCATACACACACACGTGAATGGCATGAGTTTAAGCCACTGAGTCCCAGGACTTGAACTGTGTTCGACTACATGGGAGTCCAGCTACATAGCCATTATGCCAACTGCTGGTCCTATACTTTTTCTTTTTTAAAGAGTTAATCTGTATAATTATGTTCTGAATATTTTTTGAGAATATTCTATTTCCTGAGCCAGCCCATGTTAGCTTTATTCATTCTTTCCAAAAGAAGACAGGCTATTTTTGGCCATAGTAAATAAAGTAATCCTGGAGTTCAAGCTAACCCATGGTTTGTTCTGTCTTTCTGTAATCTGTGCGTCTGTGTGTCTATCTATGTAATCATTTACTGACTGACTCACTTATTTATGTCAAGGGCCCAGCAGTGTATCCAGCATTGAAATAAGTACCAACACCACAGCAGCAGCCTTAAGTTGGAAGAATCTCGATATAGCCTCTTCCACGTACTCCTACCGCCTTCTTATTGAGGGGGCTGGAAATTCCAGCAATGCAACACAAGAAATCACGGGCGTTGGAATCACCTCCACTACACTCACCGAATTAATACCTGGCATGTCTTACACAGTAGAGATCTTTGCACAAGTTGGGAATGATACAGAGTCACTGGACCCTGGCTGGAAGTCATTCTGTACAGGTGAGTAGCACACGTGCCTCTTGGACTTCTTCCTGTCCGGTGCTGACCATGAAGGTAGGTCCTCCAGAGTTTGTAGGTTATTAGGTTTTGTGTGATGTGCAGTGATAGACAACGTTGAGCTTCCCGAGGCATCCTGTTAGCTCATCAGGGCTGTCCTATGCTTTAGTCATTTCTTCATTGAACAAATATTTACTGAGCGTTTACTATATGCTACACAGAGTAGCATATTGTCCCTACCTTCTTGCAACTTTTGTTCTAGTGGGGAAGATGGATAATAGACAAGAGAAAGAGTAAATTGTTAGGTGATGGTTACTACTAAGGAGGGGGGAAAAACAGGGAAGGGGAAAATGAGATGTTTTTCTAGGGTGCCTGGGAAAGGTTTCATTGAAAAGATGACTTTGAGCAAAGATCTGAAGGATACGAAGGAACCAGCCATGTGGATGTTAGGGCATTAGAGAAATACAGGCAGAGGAGCAGCCAGTACAAGCCCTTGAGGCTGGAGAGTGCCTGTTGTGTTGGAGAAAGAGCAGGAGGCCAGAGAAGCAGGAGCAGGGCCATGGGAGCAAGGGTGAAGGCAGGTGAGGCCTGAGAGGTAAGGGACTGGGGCATGGATGGTGTTGGGCCTTCTAGTCCCTGGTTGTATTTTTACACTGAAGAAGATGAAAAAGATACTCTTAAGATGGATACTCAATCTTTTTACCTTTCTTTTTCTTTCCTTTTTTCATTGCTAGAGGGCACATGTGCTGATGAGAGAGAGACAGAAAGAGAAAGAGGAGGAGAGAGAAAGCATCTCCTCAATAAGGAGATGGGGTCACACTGCAATCCCTTCTCCTCCCTTTCTCCATGCTGTTGGGATTTGGGACACACATGTATGTGTACTTGGCAAGTTATGTAAGCCACTGGGGCTGAGGTTCAAGCCATAGCAGACCACAAGGGATCTGGCTCCCTTAACCACTAGGCCATGGGGCTGGCCCCTTTTTATCTTTTGGGGTTCATACCTAACTTGCATTTCAAGAACTGTGACCTGAGAAGAGCCCTGTGTTTCACTGAGGCTGCTTTCAGGGAGTTGCCAGGGAAGGTTTGGCCAACAGTTAGGAATACTTCTGCTCACAGTTCTGATTCTGGCACCGCTAGCGCCTCAGCACCCGGAATCACTGTATTCTGCACCCTGTCCTCCTACATCTTTTCCTTAGATCAAAGCGTTCACGTGGATTCAGGCTGATCTTAAAGCAGGGGTTGGACGGGCTCCCTGGGTCAGCCAGTGTTAGTGTTGGAAGCTTGATGGGCTCTGACCTGTCACCTTGAGTGGCTAAGGACATCCTGCAGTTCGAGTCACCTCTGCTAACTCAGGCTCCATCCCACCTTGCGTAGACTCTAATCTTTGGTATTTGGGTGGTTTGTGTTGCTGATATTTACTGTAGCTATCATTGCAGTGAGAGAAAATGAGCACGTGTGACCGGGGGTGAGCAGAACAAGAACTGTAGGCATAGGTGCCCTAGGTAGGTTACCTTTCCAGGACCCAGATGGAGAGGGCTTATACTAGGTAACTTTTTAGGACTTTTTCTTCTGTAACATCCTGGGACATTAAATAACGATAATATTCTTCCCTAGTACATTAATACAGAGTTTTCCTTTTACACCAGTTTGATGTTGGACCTCAACAAAACTCTTTTGGCCTCAGATGGATGAAGACACGTGTCACCTGATTTTAAAGATAAATGGATCCTATTTGCTATTGATTTTTAAAAATATTTATTATTTAATTCCATTTGCTATTATTGTTATTATTTTAATTTGAGCAAAGAGAGAGAGAGAGAGAGAGAGAGAGAGAAAGGGAAAGCAAGAAAGCAAGCTGCCAGATTCAGGACTTGAATCACAGTCGGCCATGTGGGAATCCAGTGCCTTTAACCACAGTGCCACCTGCTGGCCCCGCCATTGATTATTGAGCATATTGTGTGTTTAGAAAGTACCCTGAGGGACCAGCAGTTGGCATAATGGCTATGTAGCTGGACTCACATGTAGTCGACTACAGTTCGAGTCCTGGACCTGATGACTTAAACTCATGCTGGGCACGTGTGCATATGTGCCCAAGATCCTGGAGGAGAGTGGAGAAGGAGGGACTGTGGCGTGGCCATCTCCACTGGGGGATGATTTCTTGCTTTCTGTTTCTCTGTCTTTACGGTGAGCACACACGCCCTATAGCAAACCCCCCTCCCCCCAAAAAAATAAAATAAAATAAAATAAAGTACCCTGAACTTGGATTTGTTTACATATTTATTTTGCTGTAGGCACATTAGCTCGCCAGAGACAGAAAGAGGGAGAGAGAGAGAGGGAAAGTGAGAAAACATCCCTCAAGAGAATGGTTACAGAACAGCCCCCTATCCTCTGTTCTCCTCTTGGGATTTTGGACATGCATGCACATACGCTCAGTGTGTCTTTCAGGTTGCTAGGTGTAGGACTCAAACCATACAGTTGGTGATGTGGGCTCCAGCTTCCTTAACTACCATGCCACCAGCTGGTCCTAAACTTGGATTTAGAAAATCTAGAATCCAATGTTGACTTTATTACTTACCAGCTGTGCCATCTTTAGGAAATCATTTACCTTTCTAGGCCTCACTTAATTGATCTGCAAAATGGGACAGTGTTAACCTGACCTGGTCCAGAAGGATCATCAAGAGGGCCTCAAAATGGGATGAATCAAGTGAAGTTGTTACTTCTCACGGTATGAGAAGCTCTGGTCTCTTCCAGGTGCCTTGGTGACTGACACCCATTCTTTTATTTAATCTCAGTCTCACTGTTGAGGCTCAGAGCAGTTGGTGTCTGAGCCAAAGTCACAGTTTAGTATTGCTTGAGGGTCAGCCTCTCTCCCTTCCGTTATCCCACACACTTGCTTCATCACTGATGGGGCAGGATTCTTCAGCTCCCCACATGTCAGTGTTTGCAATGGCAGAAGTTCCAGAATCTCCTGATGAGCTGCGCTTTCTTTGCAGAACCTGCGCCTGTGGCCTTCCTGCATTGCAAAGCCGTCTCCAGGGAGCCATCCTTGGTTCTGACCTGGGCCCGCCCGTCTGGCATCAACATGGGCTTCGAGCTGGAGGTTAGCGGTGCAACCTGGGACAACACAACGTTCCTGGGGAGCTGCTCCTCTGAGAATG